AGACTTAGTAACAACTGTATGTATACATATGACAAACCTAGCCAGACCTAGCTATGCATGTACATGATCATATACTTCCTTGTATCTTTTCCATTTATCTCATTTTCTGATTTTTTGTTTGTACCTTTGTTTTAATAATGTAAATGAGTCACATAATATTATCAAACGTAGTCAAATTTATAAATTTGATTTGCTAAGTTACAAAATTGAATGGTTTGCACCTTGCTCTTTACCATTTTTCTTTTATACTCTTGCATTCCTCTTTGAATCTCTTAGATGTGATCTTTGTGAGACAACAAATGATTGGCTTAAGAAGGAGTATCTGAATTCCTCACTTCAACGATAGAATCCGTAGTCATGGGCTTCCTCCAAGGGAGAAAACATTTAGCCGGGGTGACTAATAGATTCAAGCAACCAGACTATTTTCCTCCATTGTCTTCACCCAGCACTTGCCACTTTAAACTGAGATAGAGATCCTTACATCTGCCAGAGCTCTGAAAGAGGAGATCACCTCCAAGTCAAGCTCCTTCTCCAAATGTTCAATAGATAGCACATTCCTACCAAAAGGCATTGCCACCAAAGTGGCAGAACAGCTCGATCTGCTAAATGAGATTAGTAACTGAAACAACATGGTTGTGCTATTTTGTTCACCTTTCTTGTTACACAAGAGACTTTGAACAAGTATATCATCTCGTATAGCTGCCGCTCACTCAAGTACTAACCAAGAAAAGCTTGCAGCATACCATTTTATCCATGCTCTTCACCATCTGACAAAGAAGACCAAAATTACCTTGAAGAAACAGCAAGAGCTCATTTCTTTTAATCATTACTGTAAGCGCATCCATAGGATATAAAATGTAGCTCAGAGTCTCACCTATTCAGATAATTGCCAAGTGTAAGTTCCGGGAAACAGTGGGACTGGACGAGTAGGCGAACAAGTGATTGATCTCCACGGACTTGTGACAAAAACCAGTTTTCATTTTCACGGCCGGATCTCTGCCATGCCACAAAAGATACTCATATGGCAAAAGAACTCCCAGCACCTCCAGCATCTGTGGTACCACCACGGAGTCAAGTAGGTTTGAAAACCGAAGTACCTGCGGCACAAGAATCAACGCGTTGCAAATTTGCACAGACAGTACCTCTGGATCATACGTATCTGGCATGAATGTTCAGTATTGTAACTTGAGAACCTGTACCTGTGGATGAAAGTAGAGTAAACAAACACAAAAGAGCATAGAAATGGCCAGCACCTTTGCAAGAAGATAAGAAAGAGAACCCTCACATAGTGCACGAGACAATCAATCAGCTGCAAACGTTTTCCAGAAGCACCGTAGAGAAAACCTCAGAGCTTTATGAGCGAAAAGAGAAGTTCATCTCACCGCTCCACAGGTCGACGGCAAGAGATGTTCCAGCTTATGCCGCTGACAGATACAAGTATAGAGATTTTCGACGTCCATGCCATCTGGTTGTGCTCTTGCATGTTCTCGTAAGTGCTCTTCAAATCTGTAACACCAACGTAAAGCATTCCAGGACACGACATTTCTCTCTGGCATGTGGGCAAACGTTTTCAAAGCTTTATCGATATTCCCGCAATCGGCATAAGCTGACAGCATAGAGTCCATGCCAGGCGACTTCTCTCCACCATAGAGTCGAGCACAAGCTCAGATTGCTTGAGGCTGCTGCTTTGGGCGTACGCAGCCAACATGGCGTTTCTGACGGACGCCCTCAAACATTTCTGGGGATGTCCTGAACAAGGTGCCAAATGTAGACATTCCTGGCGAGCTTCTCGCCGTAGCAAGAGTGTCTTCTCGCGCTTGGTTGAGAAGCCCAAGCAATTGCGCTTGATCCTGATCCATTCCCGGAGTGTGGAGCTCGAGAAGCTCGGTGGTTAAGTTGGTGCTCGTCCTCCAGGGTGTGGGAGAAGTCACTGAAGGTGCGAGAGGGATGGACTGTGGACAAAGAAGAGGACCCTGTTGCAGGTCATGTGCCAGCCGCGGCGCAAACACCACAATGCTGGCCAAGACATGAAAGACTTTCACAGATCTGGGGAGGACGAGCAACCCTGTGATTCGTGATTAATCAGGAGCTCATTTGCATCTCGGTGTCCATATCTCTCCAATTAGCTCGTCCAGATGTATGGGCTATGTGGCAGCCGCGAGGGGTGGAATTCGACCCAAGAATTGCTTCTCCTGGTCCGCGAAATGCTTGCTGCATATGCCCACATCGGGGATCTGGTAGACTTTGAGACATTCTGGAAGATGCATTGCTTCTTTGAACACGATGCCTACCGCGTGAGATTGGCCAGCGTGCCTCAAATCTATGACTACCTCGAGCATGGTAGTCGACGAGATTAATCGTGCCGGACGGTAATGGCGAGCGCGTATGGATGTTCGGGACTTGATGACGACACGAAAGCCCTGTTGAATGAACACAGTGTGATGCCGTGATTGCATGTTACTGGCATCTACAAGACCTCAAAGCCGACCAGATCTCTTTTACGTGCTTGTTTCTGGGATTTAGTCACTGCGGAAGGATGGAAGATGCGGAAGGATAGAAGACGCTTTAAGATGCTTCCTCTCGATGCTCGTGGAACGCTCTAAACGGGAGCAAAAGGAGTTTTCGATCGCAAACCATAGCTTAGTAACTTAGAACTCCATCTTGGCTGGGTTTGTCATCTGAAAGAGGCAAAGCCTTCTTATCTTGGAACTCGCTCCTCTGTCGTCGCAAAACAGGATGCTGTGAAATGCTGAGCTTGTGTTTGAAGAGATGGCCAAGGGACTCTATGGTGTGACCATGCAGATGAGAGCAGGGAACGCTGCCTCTTAACAAAGTTTAATTGAGAGGCTTTTATTTCACCAAATTAGTTTCGTTTGCGCTTCTTATTCTTGCTCATACAGAGGAGCTTTTGGAAAGCAAAGACGCAATACAGGGGGAAAACCTCTGCCTCCGCGGCTGTGAGCCCGCTCAGCCTGTGCTTGCCAGGAAATTCTTGGAAATTGGCAGGCATGACCAGCTCCAGACCATACTCCCTTGCAAGCTTCTCCCACGCATAAAAAAACACAAGGTACTCAGGGCAGTCAATGACCACGCCCTCCAGTGCAAAGTCGTATTCGTTGTCGTGTTGCCCACCCTCTTTAGCTTGTCCAAAACCACCCGTGGTGCCTACAAACCATCCGCCCGGCTTTAGCGACGACGAGATGTTGTACAGGGCTGTACGTGCGGTAGCCTCGTTGGATGCAGCGTAATGTATTGCAAGCTGGCAGCTGGAAGCGTCATACGGTCCCTCCGCTGTGACATCTTGAGGCAAACGTGACGAGAAACAATCGTACTCCACAAACTTGGCTCTCATAGCTCTTAGGGCTTGAGCTCTCGCCTCGGCCTCCCTGATTCTTTCATGGAGAAGTCCACTCCCAAATATTCACTCCTAGTCCATCCAGCTTATTGCCTCCGCTACCGCAAGCCAGATCCAAAACCCTGCAATAAGCCATCAATGAAAATAAACTATCACTAAAGATTGTCAATCACTTTTTTATTAGAGATGCATAGTTATTATTTAAAAATAATTCACTTGGTGAATGACAAATTATTCATTATCAATCAAGAAAAACTTCTAATAAAAAATGATAATCAATTATCACCAAAAATAACAAGATGAGGAAATTAACTCAAACATCAAATCTAATGAGCTATCCATAAAAGCACAATGATAAACTAGATGATCTGTAAAATATCAGGAGCCAAAACATTTAAAGTCTTGAAAAGCCACTATAGAGACAACAATTATTGAACACTGCTCAGAGACAAAATTTACAATTGCAAAAAACATTGCTAAGCCAAATTCACTTGGTGCTTAAGAAAGTTCATAAATTATAAACTGAAATAAATGAATTTCCTAGAACCCCATTTAGCCCTGTGGATGGCAAGGAAGGATTGAATGCCAAGGCGCGCAGTGGCAGCATTGATGCTGCAGCCATAACATTAACCCTGCAAAATATAAAATATTTGGAAGCTCATACTTGTCTATTGCCTTGTGTCCAAAAAAATATATGTATATTTTAAGAACTCACTATTGTTCACAAAAATCTGTGTGGCCTATTCTCAAAAATATCTTGGGAAAGAATGTTAATTTACAGAGAAAAAGTATTTTTAAATTTTTGGCCTCTGCAGAGAGAAGGAAAATTTTGATTAGAATTTCCCAACCATTTTGACTGACCACATTTATTATTCTATTGACTCCAAGTGCACATACATATGCCAAGTTGGAGGACACCATAAGAACACAAAAAGGGCAAGTAACTCGGAGTGTCTCTGCTTTGCTTCATGAGTTCAGGCATAGTGATTGTTCTTCTCGTTTTTTGCTTCATCTGCTCTTTCTCGAATGCAAAAGAGGAGTCATCTGTGCTTTTGAGCTTCAAAAACTCTGTGGACGATCCATCTAAAACTCTGTCCAGCTGGAATACAAGTGTTAACTTCTGCCAGCACTGGAACGGCATAGCCTGCACGGCGAAAGGCCGAGTTTCCATTCTTGCACTTGAGAATTTAGCACTTCCAGGGTCGCTCTTGGTTTCCACAATCAACTCTTTGCCCTTCTTACTCGAGCTATCTGTCTTGGGAAGCAACTTCACTGATGCTTTGAATTCCTCCAAACAAGCCTGCTCACTTGAGTTGATCAAACTGTCGGGTAATCAAAACATGTCTTTCACGACCAATTTTGATGCTATGCTAGTCTGCAAAGGTCTAAAGATTCTCAATCTTTCAAACAATCAAATTGAGGGTAAGATTCAGGTGCCAATAGGCAGCGTTTTGGAAGTAATGGATCTCTCCAACAACTTATTTAGTGGGGAGCTTCCCCACTTACTGTTTTCACAGTGCAAGAGATTGAGATATCTAGACCTCTCCCACAATCATCTCACCGGAGAACTTCCAGAGGATCTTTTTAAAAATTGTACTAATCTGCAGCAAATCTCTCTGGCCTCCAACAGCTTCCGTGGCACATCATTTCCCTCTATTCACTCCTTGCCATCGCTAGAATTTCTCGACGCTAGCTTCAACAACTTCACAGGTCCGGTTCCTGCAATTCATGAGAACCTCAAGCATCTTAATCTTAGCTCAAACAATTTCAGCACAACCAGGGAAACCTTATGTCCATCGCTCAACTCCTCGAGGCTGGAGAGCTTGATCCTGGTCAACAACAAGCTCACCGGAAGGGTATTGGACAGCGTCATGAATTGCTCTAGCCTTAGGATGTTGGATTTGAGCTTCAATTCGTTAACAGGAGAGATTCCAAGCAGCATATGCAAACAACTTCCCAAGCTCGAGCACTTTCTCGCGTGGGTAAACAACCTCCAGGGGCAGCTTCCCCAAAACCTTGCATCGTGCAGTAACCTCACCGAGATCATCCTCACTTTCAACAATCTCAGTGGAAACATTCCACCTGAGCTGTTGTCCAGCACAAAGAGCCTCCAATGGTTATGCTTGAGTAATAACAGATTGAGTGGAGAGTTGCCTGATTCATTGGAGCATGCAAAGGAGATGATAGTGCTTCAGCTGAGCAACAACAGCCTGCAGGGCAAACTGCCCAGCAACATGACCATGCAGACGATAGATCTCCGTGGAAACAGCTTGAGCGGGAGGATTTCAGCCTCTTTGAATGGTTTCACAGGCACCAAATCTGCCAAATCCAACGTTGCTGGGACGAGCTTGAAGCTAGCAACAGGGATAAAAACATGTGGTTGCATCGACAACATTTTTATCTTACAAGGAATCTCTTTGGAAGAAATGGAGAGGCTACTTTCTGCCAAGAGCGGTGGCTGCAAATGCTCCATAAGTTTCCTTCCAGCAAGCTTTTATGGTTTCTCCACCACCAGCCCTTCCTTCATCGATGTTTCATTCAATAGACTGGTGGGAGACATCCCGCGGGAGCTTGGGAGCATGCAGGACGCCAATTACCTCAGTGTTGCACATAACTTCCTGTCCGGAACAATCCCCGTGGAGCTCGGGTATCTCAAGAAAGTGATAGGGATGGACTTGTCATTCAATGATCTCCAAGGAAGCATTCCAAGCTCGTTTTCGTCTCTCCAGTCCCTCACAGGGTTGAATGTGTCGCATAACAACTTGTCCGGTCCAATTCCACAGGGTGGTCAGCTTTGGACACTTGATCCGAGCAGCTATGCAGGAAATGCCGGTCTGTGTGGTTTCCCTCTAGCGTCATGCATCACATCACCACCAACAGCGACGAATCGTGCTGACCATGGCGATGGCGATGGTGGATTGGGAGCAGTTCTTGCGGTGAGCTTTGCAATTGGGGTGCTGGTCTCGGTTATCTCCTGTACAATGGTAGTCACCATTGATAGTAGGAAACGCTTTGTGGAGAGAGCTTGCTATGGATGATGGACACACCGAATAAAAAAGAGAGCCCTCAGACTAAGGCCATGTTTTCTCCACACACAACCGAGCGCTCTCTTTCTCGACAAATCCATTCGCAGCAAAGAGACGAGACCCACAAAGGAAACGACCCAACACTCGTTCTCGAGCCCAGTCTCGTAAGGAGACCAAACAAATGCTCGATCAAACAAGCCAGGGCCGCCGCCAATGCGAAACCCCTCTTACCGCAACTTCATCCCTGCCGAGAAAACGAGAGCGCCCAGCCACAAATTCGGTGTGGTTAAGACAGTGGTCATCACCGGGCTGATGAAATAGATCTCAGCGAAAAGGATTTCCTCACGCTTCCAGGAGCACTGGGAAAGATAACGCAGTGAAAAAACCATCACAGATCTGCTAGTAAAAGGGGCATCTCAGAAACCAGGATTAGCAGCTGGTATACCGTGCATCTGCATCGGATCCACAGAGAGACCCATGAAAGCGCAAGGATAAACAAGGAAATCCTCCCCGATGCCCAAAGAACCCTAGCTACTGACCAAGAACCCTAGTCCCAATAGCGAATTTTATACAGCCAAGAACCCTAATTCAAGGGCCTCCAAAATTGGAGTAAGAAGATATTTAAAAACGAAAGTTTCTTCGGCCGTAAGTTATCTTCTCGCTCGCAGCAATTCCTCGATGACATCTAATCGCGTCTCCACTCCGGAGATTCTTGACATGATCGCCTGCCAAAGAGAGCTAGATCGAAAGAGAAAAAAGAAAAACCCATGGATCATACCTCTTCCTTCATCCTCCTCTCGTCTTCCTTCCTCGCCTCCTCCTTTCTCTTGGCTTCCTCCGAGCGCGCGTTCCTCGACACCTCGAAAATCACCACTGCTCCTCCAACCTGGAAAGAATTTTTGGGAAGAATCTCTCAATGCGAAAAGGAATCGAATCGAAGAGTGGCACTTTACTGACCCCAAAAATGAAGAACTCGCCCAGCATCTCCGACGCGGCTTGCACGGCCTTCTCCTCGTTGAGCGGCCGGATTTCCACATCCGTGGCGTGGCCATAGATCCGCCTTTGCAGATTCACGCTAAACCTGTGGTTGAGCTGCAAGAAATCGCGACAACAAGCGCGAGGAGCCAGAGATTTCGAGCGAAATATCGCAATGCCACCGCCATACCTGCGCCATTTTGCTGATCGACTCGCGAAACCTGGGATGATGCGCCGCCGTCTTCTTCAACCGATTCGCCACGGGCTTGCTCAGCGTCCGCAATGCCAGAGTGGCCAGCTTCATCAATGGGAAGATCATCGCACCGCATTGACCGGATCGGCCGCGCCAATTCAATCTATACTCGCTACTAGCGCCATCCCAGCAGCTTCTACCATCGCTTCCAACATAAACCCTAAACTTCGAGAGATTAAAGAGTAAACACATTTATTAGATTAAGCTATCGCGTTTAAGCCAGCGTTCTAAACCATGACAGCGTTTTGCTCAGCGCTTGGTCCAAAATCCGTGAGCCTTGCTCGATGCCTGGCAGGAAAACCCAAGAGTTTTTCAAGTTTTTCGCTTAGATTTCTTGCTTCGATCGATTGAAAAGGAAGAACTTACCGAGATCTACAGCCACTCTGTGACCACACATCATTCCAGAGAAGGCTACCGCAATGACTCCTTGGCCGGGAAAGCAGCTATCTCCAACGCAGTATAGTCCTTCCACTGCCTGGAACATCGACTGTGATGAATCCAATCTATCTTCCAGAATAAAAAGCTCTACAGGTTTTTCGCAAACTCACTGTTGTGTTGAATGGCATCCCGAGAAGTCCTTTGGGCTTTCCAACAGGGATTGGTCCGTAAGTTCCTTGGTCTCGAGCGAGATAGCGTCTGTGAGTTTTAGGCGTCCCGACCTTTGACACACGAAAGTTACAAAGTCTAGCGTGAGAGAAATGAAAACAAGGAAGGAAACTTGAGAGCCTGCTCGTACCTCTCGAAGAACTGTTGCGTCCTTGAGACCGGGAAACAGTTTCGCTTCCAGTCTCTTAACGATCACATCGGCCACAGCCTCCTTCTTGTCATTGTACTCCGAGCTACTTAACCCCTGCGATATCATCAGAAATTTTAGTCTTTTCTTTGAAAGCTTGTGTGAAAGCTATGGAGCTCCACGTACTTGCCAATCATCGGCCCATGCGGTGGTAAATATGTGAAGAATATGGCGATCCTCTGGAGCTAGCGAGGGATCCAAAACAGTGGGAATGCTCAAGAAGATCGTACCATAAGGCTTCTCGAGGTTATCCCACGAGTCCTACAAGAGAAAACCAAAGACTCAAGCTAGAAGAAATGAAAAGCCCGAGTAGCATACCTCGAGAACGAGATGATGGCACTCGGTTCCTTGAGGCAAAACTTCGGCTTTCACTCCCATATGTATTGAGAGAAACGATGGAGCTTTCTTGTAGACTGTCTGGAAGCGTCGTTCTTCGTCTGGCATTTCAGAATCGAGCAGCTTTTCTGGTGATCGAAGCAAACGCAAGGTCATATTCTAGAAACCAAATTCACCATGATAGTCGAAAACAGTACCAAAAGTATCCCATCGCGTAGCATTGGAGATGACTGTTTTGCCAAGCAATCGTGTTCCATCCGCTAGTTGCACGCCAACCTGAACACCTGAAGCGACCTCACACTCGTTAAACAATCTTGCAAACCAACAGAAGCGACAGAAGGGAAAAATATATACAAAGTGGAACGAAAAGAGTGAAAGCTCACCGCTTTGTTTTGCTCCATCAAGATTTTCTTCACGTTGGACTTGTAGCGAATTTCGCCTCCTCTCTCAATCAGGCCGTCTGCCAGCTCTTGTGCTATCAATCCAACACCTCCAACGGGATAGTTGATCCCTCCGAAGTGTCGATCGCAAATCACCTACAAAGCAAAGAGTGTTTGCTATAATCTGTTCGTCTTCTTTGGAAAGAAGTGTTACCATGCTCGCATTGATCATTGGTGTACACAACGCGTCGACGGTACTGACGAGGAAGCACTAGAACAAAATCACAGTTAAGCCGAAACTGGAAAAAAAAAAAGTTCTAAAGCTTACTTCGGTATCTATAAACGACAGCAAAACTGGATCTTTGATGTACTTCCTCGCAATATCACCAGCATTTTGGGGAAGATAGTACGCTGCGCGAAACAAAAAATGAGAAAAACCAATGTCTAGAATCGAGTTTTTCAACTCACCAAGAGTCAAGCAAGCAAGTGGGTTTCTGAAAAACTGGCCGAAAAGGTAGAGCGGCTCCTCGAGAGATTTAAGCTCCAGCGAATTCAATGCGTTAAAAACCTGTGCATGGATGGTTCGTCGACGAGGAAACAACGAAAAGCGAGCAAAAAAAACCTTCCAGCATTCTCCGTAGAAGCCTCGTATTCCTTTCTCTTCGTGTGGAAACTGGTCGACAAGCTCGCCGATGAAATCCTCGTAGTCTCGATGAACTCTCACGGACAAGTTGTTTGGCATATGGTAGTGGACAGTGGTGGGATCGGGTATGAGCTCCAACTTTCGTCCGACAGCAGCCAAGGCACGAGTTATCAGATTGATCGACCCCTGGATGGAGCAAGAACAAAAAAGAGTTGGAACTCTTCTCAAGAACAAACTTTGTCCACTTGCCTTGTCGCTGAAACCAAACATGACGGACGATCCAACATCGAAAGTGTAGCCATCTCGCTTGAAAAACCCAGCACTTCCACCAGGAATCACGTACTTCTCTAGCAGCAGCACCGAAGCGCCCCGGATTGCGAGTTGACTTGCTGCAACCAAGCCCCCGATTCCAGCGCCAACCACAATCGCATCGTACCTCTTCTCCGCGAAGAATCCCTGGCTTCCATCGCTAGGAGCTGCCGAGAAGGAAGCTTGGCTCGTGGAAACAGCCGCCGCAGCAAAACCGGCGTGGGTGCCAAGACGCACGGATCTCTGCTTGCTTGGAGCTCCAAAACAAGGCAAAGGACTCGTGGGTCTTGCGGAGACTCCACAAGGAGCGAGAATTGCCGGTGCCATCGTCGTGACGAGTGGACACTAGCGCACCATTGCGAGAGATTTTGAGTGACCCAACAAAGTGGCCTCCACCTTGAAGATAAAAAAATACCCAAGGAATCAAAGCAAACACCGAGATTCCATCAAGAACAAGACGAGCTCTTAGTTTGTCCTCCGAAAGAGAAGACTTGTCAGTTAGTTTTTTCTTCTTCACGTCCAAGAACACGACGACACTGGAGAAGAAAAGTGTGAAGAAAAAAGATTAGTTTTGCGAGGAGCGAAGCTCAAATGGAAGAGATTTGATCTCTCAAAAGCCGGAGCAGCGGTTCCAAGGCGTTGGGCGAGAACTTCCTCGCAAAGAAGAGGCACGTACCGACGGTGCGGCCATTGTAGGAGCAATCCCCAGCGCGCCGGAGCCTGTCCAAAAACTCTGGAGTCACGTCATCGCGGCCAAACATGGCCGGGTGCGCGCCACCCCGAGACCAATCCACCGCCGTCAAGCTCCGGTTGGCCAGCGCAGAGCCAAACTCGATGCTCAGCATCGTCGGGATGTAGTGCTCGTCGACGTAGCACGCGGGCCGGCAAAAATCCCGAAACTTTGGATAGTACTTGTTGTCCGCCACCAAATGGAGCGCCAGCTTCCGCTCCATCTCGAACCACTGCGAGCCTTTCCTCCACTGCTCGAGCTTGACCTCGGGCAGCATGTTTGTGCTGTATCGCCCGCGTCCAAACGGGCCCGGATCGTCGAAAACTCCCACGAAGCTGTGCTGGGATTTGATCACGTAGCGGTAGAAAGTGGTGAAGTTGTGGAGCGGGGCGCAGCTCTCCGAGAGGAGCACGAACCTGTGGTTGGAGTGGTCGAGGAGAGCGTTGGCTACGAGCCGCCTCTCGGCGTCACACATTGTGATCTCTCCCCACTGCGTGTCCTGGAAGAACGAAGTTGCACAAACACTTAGTTCCCGAGTAAGAAGAACACACAAAAACGAGATTTTGGAGGTGTGATGCATCCATGTTCACTCTCTGGATCGAAACCAAGGAGTGTGGAGGAAGCAAACCATCAGCTTTTCAGTAAACGAAGTTCGAAGAACACACAAAAACGAGATATTGGAGGTCTTCACTGTCTGGATCAAAACCAGAGAGCGTGGAGAAAGAAAAATATCAACTTTTCAGGAAAGGAGGCCTGGAAACACATCCAGAAAATCATCCACGAACTTACCTCACGGAGAAAAAGATGGTATAGCAAACACACTCTAGCAAGCCAAACAACCAAGGACGCGAAAAAGAACAGTGAGAGAGCTTGTCGCCATACCTGGCTTGGAATGTGCCGACCATAGAAAACCGAAGTTTTCGGAAGATCCATGGCGAAGCCCGGGAGAGCATGGATGTAGATCGAGTAGCGGCCTTCGTTCCCCCGGAAGAACATCTCCCACAGCGGGGCCAGAGGGAGAGGCCCCCTCGTCATGAACAAAAACGCCACCTTGCGGATCTTCTTCACTGGCGGTCCCTGGCGCAGTGGAGCCAACGAAGCCAACCACAAGAGCTCCGGATCGGAAACGTTGTGCTTGACGGGAAATCCCCCCCACAGCCACTCCCTGGCGAACTTCAAGCTGTCGATCGAGGAGGAGGAGGTGTAGCAGCCACTGCCTGGATTTGCCGAGAGAAAACCACGCCGGAGGTTGAGATAGTCGGACATGTGAAGGCTGGCCAGGACCCCCAGGAGCAAACCTGTGAAGAGCGCGATGCATAGTAGCATGAACTTTGCGAGTCCTTGCGGCCACTTGATCATGGTGGCGGTGGCGGCGACCTGGAATCTGGAAGTCAGCAGCCTCTCACACTACTGCCGGCGCAGCTAAATCTTGAGTCATGGACTGGAAGAAGAACCAAAACTTTTTTTTTTCTCTGCAGCTCTCAGCACCAATTCAGCTCATACCCACTGTGAAAAATAGGGCGCTGGGAGAAAGAGCTCCTGGACCACTGCTCCACATTCTCGCACTCGCTCGAGAGAAAAAAATCGAGGAAACCTGGAGAATTGCTTGCGCTGCTGGGTTTGCCCAGTATCGCTCCTTGTCCTAGCTTAGCGCTAAGTCCCTGCTTACCTCTCTCTTGACATCTCGTGATTCCAGCCCTTACGCATATTCCACAGGATATTTCCCCTTAGATCTTACCGAAGTCAATTGGTTCTTTACCTTCCAATGGATAGAACCCAATGCTACGATTCCATTAGGCTTTGCAGTAGCGTAGATGCTCTCGCTCGTCTTCACTCTACCATCAAACACCACCTTCCAGATGACCTCAAGATGGCTAACATGCTGCTCCAGAAATATGCCCAGCTTGGGCATTTGCAGCAGGCAATACACGTCTTTGACTCTATCCTCCACAAGGACAGTTTCTCTTGGAACTCGATGCTATCCGCGTATGCCCGTGCCGGAAAGCTCGAGCACGCAGAGCGGATCTTTACCCAGATGCCAGATCCAAACCTTGTGTCTTATAACGCAATGTTGTCTTCATATGCCATCAATGGGCATATTAGAGATGCGGAAAAACTCTTTGATTCCATCCCTCTAACAAATCAAGTGACTTGGGCAGCTATCCTTGGCGCATATGCCCGAAACGGGCATATGGAAAAAGCTAAAGGAATCTTTAGCACGATGCCGGAGTATAGCCTTGTCTCGTGGAACTTGATTCTCTCTGCCTATGCCGATAGAGGGCATTTGAAAGAGGTGGTGGAAGTTTTCCAAACAATGAAAGAAAGAAACGTGGGATCTTATAATGCATTGCTCTCTGGGTATGCTTTTGACAGAAGCCAAATCTCAAAAGCAAGGAATATACTTGATACGATGCCAGAGAGAGATTTGGTGTCGTGGACTGTCATGCTAATAAGCTATGCCCAGAAAGGGCATCTGGATGAAGCTCAGGTGATTTTCGAGAATATGGAAGAGCGGGATGTGGTTACGTGGAATGCAATGTTAGCTGCCTACTCTGCAAATGGCCGCGTCAAGGAAGCCAAGAAAATGTTTGACAAGATGAAAGAGCACAGCCTTGTGTCGTGGACCACGCTGATATCAGCATATTGCCACAATGGACGCGTTGGCCAAGCTCTTGATTTGTTTAACCAGATGGAAGAGCACGATTTGACTACGCGTAACACTATATTTGCGATGCTTGTTCAAAACAATGAATTTGAGGATGCCAAAAGAATCTACGATCGTACTCCAATTCTGAACGAAGTAAGCTTGACTATTATGGTGGAAGCATATGCCCAGAAAGGCCATTTGGAAGAAGCAAAATGCATGTTTGATCGCCTGAAAGTCAGAAGTTTGATATCTTCAACGGCAATGTTGTGTGCATACGATTTATTCGGATTCACAGAAGAAGCAGAAAACATGTTTCACTCCATGCAAGAGCACGATATTGCCTCGTGCAATGCAATGGTGTCAGCATATGCCCAACATGGGCATATCTGTAAAGCTAAGTTCTTATTTGATGCGTTGCCATTTCGAGATCCGATCTCCTGGAACGCAATGCTCTCGGGCTACATCCAAGCCGGGAAGCTCCAAAAGTCTTGGCAATTCTTCACGAAAATGCCAGAAATAGATTCTTTCTCGTGGAACTCATTCCTTGCCGGCTATGCCCAGCGCGGAGAAATCGATTCCCTCGCCACCCTGCTTCACTCACTGGCCTTAACGCTCCTCCCAGACGAGATCTCTTTCGTGTGTGTGTTCTTGGCACTCAGCCACAGTGGTAATCTCTTCTCGGCCTGGAAATACTTCCTGTCCATGAGCAGTGACTACAACTTGGTTCCAACAAAGCAGCATTTTTGCTGCATGGCCAATTTGCTGGGTCGAGCCGGTTACCTGAAAGAAGCCGAGGACTTAATCGCGACCATGCCGTATGTGGGCGACGATTTGGACTGGACATGTGTGCTTGCGTCTTGCGGCTTACACAAAAACATGGAGCTCGCTAATCGAGCTAGCAAACGTGTGCTTGGCTTCAACAGCAAATACGCTCCAGCATACTTATTAGTAGCAAACATGGCAGGATAAAAAATCTCTCAAAAGAAAATCTTTGGTAAAGTTGTTCGTTGAAGATTTTTTCCAAGGCATGGAACACATGTCTCTACATGGTTCCCGCCTTACACTGTAGAACTCTTGTTCTTTTTTTTTTTTTAATCGCAATCCGAGAAGAGGGTTTCGGTGATGGCGGCCTTGACAACAATCTGGCAGCCTGCTACTTCGGAACGATCAGCCACTCGAAGATCTTCCATGGTATGTATGAGCATCTGTTTGTAGGATACATCGAACGAGCGCATTTCCAGATCCACACGGGATTTCGCCGACTCACACCAAGAGCCAAGAGAAACTCTACAAGGTGCTCAGTGTCACACCAAGAGCAAAGCTGCTCGAATAGAGTTCCAACATTCTGGGAGCGTTTGTTGCTTGCCTGGCAAGTTCTCTTCCCGCCTTCAAACTCTAGCGCAGAGACAAGTGCCAACATCGCGAAGCAGCGGTTGAAGATGGTTCTCATCGCAGATAGGTGTGCTGTAAGCGACGCAGCGAAGCGGATGATCGTCTCCAACGTTGTTGGAGCAATGTCTCATTTTGTCGAGGTTGAGTCGGAGGAGAAGGTCCAGCTAAACGTGACGACCGATTCTGAGCTTGGCACCATTTACTCCATCACTATTCCGGTGAGAAGAGTAAAGCCAGAGTATCAGCTTTCCTCCAAAGATTTGGAGGGCGTGGAGCTAGCGGAAGGATTGACGTGCAACATTGTTCTCGATCCTCGGGAACCATAGCCAGCAGCATCCAACTCTTGTTTCTACCTCGTTGTTTGCAAACGAGGTAGTTTGATTGGAGCAAGGAAGTTCGACACCAGCACATAGTTTGCAGCTTCTTCTGTTTGTAGAGACGCTACGTTCCCTGCTACTCGACTCCCTCCACGGAGATCATTCTTGGAAGCTCCAAGAACACATCTCCATTCCATAGCATCCGGCACAAAAGGCATGTTCTTTACCAGATCGTGGGCCTCGTCGAGGTGTCCAGCCCGTCCTAGCACGTCGATCATGCAGCAAAAGTGCTGCTTCCCAGGTCTAATCCCAAAGTCCACCACCATCGAAACGAAGAAACCGATAGCAATCTCCACGGTGCCCCCGTGACAGCACGCAACGTAAACGGACACAAAGCTCGTCTCGTCCGGCATCGCCAAGAGCTTCATGGTGCTGAAAAAGTCGAGAGCATCGCCAAAGAGTCCATTACAAGAGTAAGCGACGAGCATGGCATTCAGAGCAACAAGGTTCTGCTCTGGTAATCGATCGAACAGACTCTTGGCCTGCAAGAACCGCCCACACTTTGCATAAGTCGCAAGGATGGTGTTCCACGACACAGAGTCCCTCTCGGCCATCTCTTCAAAAACAAACTCGGCGTGTCGCAGCATCCCGTTTTGCGAGAAGCCGCAGAGCAGCGAGTTCCAAGTGACCACATTCTTCTCGGGCATTTTTCCAAGCAATCCAAGGGCTTGCTCGATGTGGCCATTCTGGGCGTAGGCAGTAAGCATGGCCGTCCAAGTAACTACGGTAAGCTCTGGCATGTTTGCAAAGAACCGGCTAGCTTCTTCCACGTACCCGCGCGACGCATAAGCGTGTAGCATGCTCGTCGATGAGACCAAGTCCCCAAATGGCATTCGATCGAACAGACACTTCGCCTCTTCCAGATGATCAGCTTGGACGAATCCAGCCAACATGGAGTTCCAAGTTACCAAGCTATGGTTTGGCATCGCATCGAAGATCTTCTTTGCATCGCGGAGATGCCCGTTTTGAGCGCTCGCTCCAAGCATCGTCGTCCAGGACACAAGATTCTTCTCCGGCATGCGCTTGAAAACCTCTTTTGCTTCGTCCAAGCCCTCATTCAGCGCAGTCGCAGACAACAAAGCGTTCCACGAGATTAAGTTGTGCTTCGGCATGTCATTGAATACGTTCTTTGTCTCGCCCAAGTGACCGTTTTGGCCATATCCAGTAAGCATGGCATTCCACGACGCCAAATCCCTCAACCCCATCTCATCAAACAAGCGCTTGGCGCCCTCCACATCGGCGGCCTGGGAATAAGCCGAGAGCATCGCGTTCCAGCTTACCAGGTTCTTCTCCGGCATGCCGCTGAACAAGATACTCGCCTCCGACAGATGCCCACGCCGGGCAAGTGCAGAGATCATCGATGTCCACGTCACCTGGTTGTGCTCCGGCATTTTTTCGTACGTGCGCTTTGCATCTTCAAAGATGGCGTGCTGGGAGTAGCAGCAAAGTAGAGCATTCCAAGATACCACATTTCTTTCTGGCATGTGCGTAAACGTTTTCTCAGCTTTATCGAGATGCCCACAATGGGCATAAGCTGACAGCATCGAGGTCCACGTCAGAAGATTCCGCTCCGGCATCGTGTCAAACACCCCTTCGGCCTGATTAAGTTTGCTGCTTTGGGCGTACGCAGCCAACATGGCATTCCACGTAATCACGTCTCTAACCGGGACGCCCTCAAACACCTCTCGGGCGTTTTGCAGATGCCCGTTCTGGGCATATGCAGCCAGCATCGCCGTCCACGTCGTCACGTCCCGGCACGGGCACTGGTCAAAGATCTCCTTCGCCCGCTCGACCTGCCCAACTCGGGCGTAAGTCGATATCATCGAATTCCAGTTCAGTGGATCGCTGTTAGAGCTGTCGGGGAGAACCCGGTTCGCCATGCCCAAGCTCCCAATCTCGCCTCTCTTGAGTTGGGCCATCCACCTAGCATTTAGTTTCCCCTCTCTTAAAGCTCTTGATTTGATGACATCAAAAGCCTGTAATGCATAGATCCTTCTTCCTTGCTCCCGGGCAGAAAGCCAGCGTCACTGTTCATCCCCACCACTTTTCGCCACGCACACGGCATCGCCCCCTTTCGTAGCTTTCTCCTTTCCAGATGGTGCTTTCCAATTGATGAATCATCCTCTACACCCAACACGTCTCTCCCAAGAAATCAAGAAAAATTCCCAAATTTATCTTTGGGACCCAAGACTGGAGAGATCTCTCCACCAACAACAAACACAGACACACACGAGTGATGGATCAAATAGACGCCGCGCAAAGATTCCTGGGATCTTATTTTTTCTGACCACCAAACCAACAACACACCACCCTAGTGTGATGGAATCGAGGACGAAGACGTCTCTTTCCAAACCATGAGATATGCAAAACGGGAAGGGTTAGCGTGATTAAACGAATAATGCGTCAACCAAATGCCAGCTGTGGGTATATGGGCATGTTTCACATTGTCGCGTTGTATACTGCTAAGAACTACAAATTAGTGAATAAACTAATTTCCAGGATTAACATATAAGAAAAGGTGACGCAGCCGATGATGACGACACATGGTATGATTTCACGAACTGAAAAATAGTACGTAGTAAAAGATTGATCGCTTTGCATGGCTTTGCGCTTGGGAATTGGAAGATGGACCGAACCACATTTTTTGTTAGGAAGTGCAAATTTACCATGTATTTATTATTTGGGGGAGATTTACAATGGTTATTTGTCATGTTGGTTGATCCACAAAGTCCATGACAAGAAATATAATTTACTAAGTCTAAACCCTGCCCAGTAGTACTTTTTAGCATGGGAGGAGTGGGCGCTGCTTTGAAAAGATCGCGAATCCAAATCACGAGCTCTCGAGGAGGAGGAGATGTGAATCCCCGATGATTCAAGTCATGGCTGTTGCGTTGTACGAAAGATCTGACCATGCAAGGAGAAACTTTTAAAAAAAAATTTCCCAGCTGATACTTGAGATCAACCAAGTCCAATTGCAAACATTCTGTCCTGTCTGGAAAATCTATACACAATTCGACGCTGTCAGGAAGAATAGAATATAGATAAAGGTAAAAAAGAGAACTAAAAAGGATAAGAAAAAAAACCATGGATGGATCAAAAACCATCCAGGCAGGGAGAGAAAGTGGATCAATCCATCTCTCAATTGTTGTGTTGTTGATCCCTTTTGGCAAAAGTTTTGCTGGCAAGTTGCTGTTGCTATCACAGCAAACATAGAGCAAGCAAACAACAACAGCACAGCATGGGACAATATACAAATCAATAATTTCATATACTCGCAAGTCAAAGATTAAAACGCAAAGATTAGAATTCTATCGCAAAAGTTCGGCATTTTCATTTCTGTGGGCTGAAATTTCCGTCGTGCATGTACGGGGTTGGCTGGAGAATATTCCAACAGGGGTAAAATCACCCATTTAAAAGCTCGAGGGTGGTAACAATTCGTTGTCATGGTTCCGGGATAATGCATTTTGTACCCGCCCCGTTTGACCAATCAATGCGTTACAGCGTCGCCTGGAAATACCAGAAGGATACGGCGGACGTGGCATCGACCAACATACGTGGATTTGCGCCTAATCGCGCTTTGCTTAGCCAGAAAGAGAAAAGGAGGCTGCCTGGCCGAAGAAAAAAAAAAAGAAAAGAAAGAGAGAAGAGAGAGAGAGTGTGTGTTGTGTGTGTGTGTGTGTGTGAGCGAGAGAAAGGTCATAGGGAGTTCTTCAATCCAGCGAAGAGATTTGTAGAGTGTGTGAGGGATTCCTGGGCTGTGGAGCGCGAGAGAGAGAGAGAGAGAGAAGGAGCTAAGCTTGAGGTTCTCCTTTTTTTTTTTTTCTCCTCTCCTTGCTTTCTCGTGTGCTTGCTTGCTTGCTTGCGCTTGCTCGCTCGCTTCCAGCGGATTCCACAGCGTTCTCTCGTGCACACACACTGACACACCCCATTTTCCCATCCCTTTCTTCTCTCTCTCTCTTTTTCTCTACTCTCCTCGCATCTCTAGCACAAGCCCTCGTTTCTTTCTTGCTCCCAGTGCCAATTCTTCGCGGGCGAATCCGGCGCCCTCCTCCTGGGCGTTAGGGATTGGAGCCGCGGCAATGGCGAGGCGAGCAGCGCATTGGGCTGCATTGGGCGCGCTCCAAATCAGGTGAGACTCGTCCCAATCCCAGCTCCGCCGAAATCCCAGATGGGTTCCACGGAATTCCTCCCCCAGGGCTCGTGATCTGCTCCACTAGACTGGAATCGCAGCGTCGGCTCGCTCCAGGACATGCGGCGGGCGTGCTTTTGATCCCCGGGGCTGGATTCGCCGGCTGGAAGCACTTTAGGCTGGATTCGCAGGGTCGCAGCAAATGCCCAGTGGCGGCATTTGGAGGTGTCGTCCGAGCTCCCGCGAGTGAACAACGATGAGAGATGGGAGAAGAGGAGGAGGAATGTGTAGTGGTGATGGATGCCGCTGGGGGTATGTGATAGCGCGGCCGGAATGTCTGGGCTCGTTCCATCGTCCTCGGAGGCAACACCATCTTTGTCAACGCCGCCAGCCTACGAGAGCGATCTCATCTCTTCCGAGAGACACGACAGGAGGAATGCCAGTAGCAGGACTAGTAGCGGCAGCAGCCTGAGCAGCGGTGGGAGCTCCGGCGCGCTGCTCGATCAAACGCAGCAGCACAGATTACTCCCGGATGGAAGGGATAGCCAGGAAGAACAGGCGTCGCGCGACCAGGGTGGCGAGGGTGGCGAGGGTGGCGATTGCGTGGCTGCCAACGATATCTTCCCGAGCTATGGATTGGTGTCCTTCATCGGACGCCGCAAGGAGATGGAGGACGCTGCTACCATCGCTGGAGACTTTCTGTCACTTCCCTGTGACATTGCCCGTCACTCCAGCCAAGATGGTCACCATAGCTCGCACCACTTCTTCGGTGTTTACGATGGGCATGGCGGATCCCAGGTAGTGGCACTCTTCTTCATTGTTTGTTCTTGATCGTCTTTCCAGGTAGCACACTTTTGCAAGGATCGTCTCCACGTCGCTCTAGTGGAACAGATCAAAGAGTCGATAGCTCTGGCCGGGTTTGCCAGTGCAAACGAGGTGACGTGCTGGAACACCGTGTGGGAGAAGGCTCTCGAGTCGTGCTTCCTCAAAGTTGACGGCGAGATCGACTCGATGTGCCTGCGGCCAGGCAACTGCGACAAGTGCGAGGTGAACACGGGCGTTTGCTGCGAGACGGTCGGATCCACCGCGGTCGTCGCCGTGGTGAGCTGCTGCCGGATTGTCATAGCAAACTGCGGGGACTCGCGGGTGGTTCTTTGCCGCGGTGGTCGGGCCATTCCACTCTCGGTGGATCACAAGGTACGTTCAACACACCCAACTTTGCGTTGATCTCTCGTGTTCCAGCCCGAAAAGGAGGATGAGATGCAACGCATCGAGGACGCCGGCGGTCGAGTCATCTTCTGGAACGGCTACCGAGTCATGGGAATGCTGGCCATGTCCAGAGCGATCGGTGAGCTTTGCCATCTTTCGCTTTGCTTTGCTATAAGTTCCATCTTTCGCTTGTTCTTCGCATTAGTTCCATCTTTGTTCTTCGCATGCTTTGCTATAAGTTCCATCTTTCGCTTGTTCTTCGCATTAGTTCCATCTTTGTTCTTCGCATGCTTTGCTATAAGTTCCATCTTTCGCTTGTTCTTCGCATTCTTGCTTGTGGATTGTTTTCGGAGAGAGTGACACAGTCGCATTGGTTTTTTCCAGGCGATCGCTACCTCGACCGCTTCGTCATCCCAAACCCGGACGTCAAGTGCGTGGTGAGGAGCGACGAGGATGAGTTTCTAGTCCTGGCCAGCGATGGCTTGTGGGACGTTCTCACCAACGAGCAAGTGTGCGAGGTGACGAGGATGTGCCTGGCGGGGCGGTGCACCAGCAACCTCGACGCTCTCTCGGCACACACGCACGGCACCGAGACCTCCCACGCCCGCGTCGCCGCCGCCTACCTCACCAAGCTCGCCTACAATCGCCGCAGCGGCGACAACATCAGCGTGCTCGTCGTGGACTTGAAAAGCGGAGTAGCGGCGGCGGCGGGGATGCTCTCCTCGGTTTCTATAACTTCCTCCTCCTCTAGCTCTAGTTCTTCGCCCGCGATGCCAGTTTCTACGATGACAAGTACTACTACTACTGCTGCTGCTGCTTCTACCGCTACCGTCGCTGCTGGATCAACTCCAACATCGGAAGTAGCAGCCACGCCTTGAGAGATTTCTCTTTTCTTATCTACGTTTTCTTTTTTTCTTCCGCGATCGTTCTCCTCCTCCTTGGTCATCGTCACCTCTTAAGTTTTGGATCTCCTTCCACACGATCTGGCCCAGAGAGACTCGTTCTCTTGTTGAATCACTGTGGACTACTATTAACAAACGAATTTGTAAATTTATCTCTTGCTCTTTTTGGTGAGAGGTGCTGCTGGGCTGCCAACGCACACTTCTTTTACCCTTGACTCAACACAATCAATGCCAAGTATCGAAGAAAAATAGCTTACCATAGTCCAAATATCAAAGAAATTCTCTCTCTCTCTCTCTCTCTCTCTCTCTCTCTCTCTCTCTCTCTCAAATTGATTCGTAGTCGTAGTCGTAGTAAACAAGTGTCAATCAGCGTGGAGTTTTGATTTCTTGTCAAGGCCTGGCCTGGCAGAAGAAAAACACAGCCACACAAAATGGACCTTCTCTCGGCAGCTCGGAGGAGAATTTGACCAGCAACTAAAAGCTAGGCTATTCCTCTCTCTTGGAGTTTTTAACTCTTCCAGTATCATCCTCCTTCGTCCGCGTAATTTCTTGTGCTCTGGGCCGAGGAGGGGCGAGAGGCCATTTTTTCAAATCGCCCCCATGGTCCTTGAGGCAAGCTTCGCCATAAACAATGTTACAACCTCAGTCTCAAGAAGCCGAGCCTTTACAGATGCCCATTCCCGGTATGTGTCTCAGCGTGCGTGAACTATAAACAAATGGTTGCGGGCTGGCCGGATTAGATTAAACATGACACTTGGGTACATTGGTTACTTTCAAAGCTGTACCATGAATCTTCAGCTATGGCGGCAAAGGCTTGCTGTGTCACATCTTTTCATTTATAAAAGCTGAAGTAAGCTCTTTGAGGTGATGGGCTTGCTGCGTGGTGGACTGATCCAAGAGGGGTGGACCAACATTTTGTACTGAACGATGTCCTTGTTTATTATTTATTTATATTTATAGTATATATATAATTATTATATTACTATTATTAGTAGTAGTAGTATTGTCTTTGTGATAGAATTCCCCGTGGGGATCATCCTCCACCATTTTGTCTTGAGGATCCATTCATGGGAATGTGAGCGCAATTTGCTAAGTTAAGCGCAGCTCGATTTCACACAACTCAAAGCTGCCGGAAAGATTAAAAACTTTCTCTCTTTCCTGGAGAGGAGCAAAGGTTCTCAAATCCCCATGCAATGGCTGCCATCACCTCAAGCAGAAGAAACCATTAAAATCGAGAGAGGGATAGATAGACAAGAATATGGTCATGTCATTGAGCGCATCTTCTAGCTTATTTATACCCGTGATTAGATTACGATCGATCCTCTCTAGGCTCTAGTTCATCTGCGGTGCTAATAGCTTTTGTTCTTACAGTTTCGAAGGCTATGGTTTATAGTATCTAGTGTGTCTGCGAGTGTTTGTGTGTGCTTGGACGCGAGCGTTCGTGTTCCTCTTTTGTGTTGTTTTTCACCGGTTCTTTAGCTAGAGAAAACCCAGAGAGGTCAACGCCGCTTCAGATCACTCGATGTGCAACATGCCAAGGCGATATCTCTGCGAGATTGTTCTTGTTTTGCTCGCGCTGCAAGCGATCCTGGCTCGCGGCAGATTCAATAGCGATGGTAAGAGCTGCAACCCGATAATCTTGTGACTCACACTCGCCTTGTGCTCTAGAGAAACTATGCTGCAGTGACGAGCCACCCGCGAGGAGCGGCGCCAAAGAATCCTTCCAGGTTTGTGTCTGGATCATCTATCAATACGTAATCGTCTATCTCTTTCGCAGAAGCACAAGGCAGCAAGAGCACCGAGAACATCGAGCACAGCTATGGACAAGACAGTGGTTGGATCAACGCCTCCGAGCTGCCTGAACAAATGCGCCTCTTGCACACCGTGTCAGCTCGTCAAGGCTCTGGGGGAGGACAAGAAGATCGGATCGAGCCCCCCGAGCTGCAATAACAAGTGCAACGCTTGCGTTCCTTGCCAGGCGGTGCAAACACCCATGTCGTCCTCGAATCCCCGCGAAGAACACCAAGAACAGCCGCGTGAAGAGCGCGATAATCAAGACGATCGCGAGGTCGGGGAGCACTTCATTGTTGGGTTCTCAAACTACATGCCAGAGACTTGGAAGTGTAAATGTGGCAACCAGTTCTTTAGTCCGTAAGTAGAGCTTAGCTATCTCCAAAATAAAAGGAAACTTTGATAGAGTTTGATCTATCTCGCGCTTGCTAGAATGGCCATAGCTCCTGCGATCCTGTGGCTCCATCTCCATAGTGCGAGCAAGGATCCGCCCCTTGTTGACAACGCTTGCCTTCCTCCACAACAAGCTCATCGATGCCTACGGCGGGCGAGAGCTGTTTCCATGCCATGCCCAATGCGAGTGAGAATGCCTTCACCTGAATGTTCATTGTTTCAGCATACAAGCAAAATGGACCTGAAAGTGGCCTGAGCCATGATCTTGGCAAAGAGCAAAATATCTATTTCTGTATCTTGGACCACTATTTTTTATGACAAAAGAGGGTATTTAGCAATTTTTGCTCCAGGTGATAATTTGTGTTGGGTGGTAGAAAATATGCTTGAATCTTCTAGGACTTTTTCAGTTGTTATTTATTTAGATTATGTTGTGTTTTTTAGTATATTCTTATTCTCCTATCATAAGATTAATTTTGTGTTTATAAATTATACGCTTACTTATAATAACAAACTTTCAACAAACATAAGGATACACATTTTTAAGATAACTTTTATAACTAATTCTCTAACACTCTAAAGTATGAAATAGTAAAGTTGTGAAAACTTATAATATGATTAGTATAAAGAAGTTATCTGATTACTTACAAAGATATAACTACATGATTACTCATAAAGATTGAAAAAAAAGTTACATTTAGAATACTTATTTAGCTCTCGTATAAACTTTTATTTTAGCAAATTTGAGAATTTTTAACTAAATTACACATTAATAAATTTAATTAATAATAGTATTAAACAAAAAGTAAAACATAATTTTTGTTGTATATTAGCTCATATTGACACTATTATTTATAGTTTATATTGTCCTTGTAACAACCAACAATATTAAATGACCAAAATCTATACAAACAAATCTATTTTATATAACTCTACTACAAAATAATAATCATCCAAATCATATTTAAACATACCCTTAAAAATTTCAAATAGTTCTTCAAAGTTATGCATTTTATGTATATAACTATATAAAAAATTTATTTAATAAGGTTTTTTATTGTTTAACCAACTCATAGAAAAACATTCTATAAACTTGTTTATATTTTAATTTCAGTTTTTATATTTCATATAGAAAAAAGATTAGGATTTTAATTATGCATTTGTTAGAATTAATTTTTAGCAGATTGCATATGTATGATTTTATGAATATTTTTTCAATAATTTTTGTAAAAGTTTTACTTTTGGAAATTTTGATTCATATATTTGAATGTATAAAGATTAACTTTGGATAAGTTTAGTTTTCTTAAATTATATGGATATTACATAATAAATAATTACTCTCATTTAGTAATTTTTATTCTTTAAAGTCTTCTAAAGGAATAAATATGTTATAATTAGATTTAAGATTGATTAAAATATAATTAAATTTACTAATTGAGCCCATCAACTTAAAATTTATATGGTCAAAATCAATAAAGAATAATCTTCTTTAAAATTTTTGTGTTAAAAAAATTTAATTTGTCAAAGTGATTAATCTTTGTTTACATTTTTTTGATTGCCTTCTAAAGGAACTACCAACCTTTATTGTTGTTAAATCAATAAATTTTATAGTGGTAATAATCCCTTATGGTGTTGTAGTAATTAACAAACTAAATGATTATTTTCAGACATATTAAATTATATTATTTTTAAGAAAAATTTAACTAAAAAATTAAATATATATTAACATTAAAAATTATGTTCAATTGAAAAATATCCTAAAATATACTTACATTTTCTAAATAAATTCTTATATTGAATCAACATTAATAATTTTGACATAATTTCATAGACAATTCTTCTTATATAAAATAGGTATGTTTGTGAAATTTAAATTTTCCATGAACACCCTAGGTTGAATATCTTGGAATGCCATTACTACCACAATGGTCTTACTGAGCTAGTTGTTAATCTAGATGCCCAACTCAACCAATGCTCATCCCAAAAGAAAGTTTTGCAACACAAAAGATCACTTTGTGTTGATGGCTCTTGACTTTTCTTTGTTTTGCACCAAGCTACACTTTTGTGAACTTACAATTGTATGTTCTAACTTTACACATTTCAATTTAAGATTTGGAGTTTGATAAAATATAAATGAGTTTCAAAAAAGGAAATTTTTTGGCTGTTTTAAATGCTAGCTTAACAATAGCCCTGCCACGTCATCAATTGAGCGTTTCGATTAGCTGGCTAGGTGATCGTGCTGAGCAAACTAAATGTAACCACAAGCAAAAGTTGATTAAGCTTTTTCACTTCAATGCTCTCCGTTTGATGTCCTGGACAAAAACTGGTGTGCGAGCTTCTGCCAGGTTTCACGGCTCCTTTGACTGTGTCGCTCAACTCCTTGGCTCTTTTTCGCAGCTCCAAAAGTCGCATCTAAGTTGGTAGTGAATGAGCAAGTTTTGTGTATGGAAGCTCATGGATTGCCAGCCTCCGTTCCTGCCCAGGGTCATATACCTGATCATGTCCGCAAGCTCGCCTCGTCATAACTTTCCTCAAAAGAAGCAATTCAGGTACCTATATATAATCTAGCTAGTTATTCCATTTACACGAGTGCCTTTCATCTGGCCGACTTGGAAGCAGTCTCCATGTATCTCGAATCTCGATGCGGTGGAGGGCTTTCGAGAAAACCGTGGCGCAGCTCATGGGCGATTCCCAGCGGCCGCCACTCACCTGTATACTCAGTGACTCTCATTGGGTGGACTCAACAAGGGTGAATTTTGGGACGGGCTGCGGGACACGGGGTCTCGCGTATCTCGTTGCTCGAAAGCAATGGCCTCCTCCCAACACGCGGTAAAAACCACTTCAATCTAGGCAGACGACTCGGAGATAGTTAAGCTTTACAAGTTTATATAATCAGGGATGGTTGCGAAATAGACGATCATAGCTCTCCGCAGACGATACGATGATACATTACACGAACCTGGACGGATTCTTTGGCGCGGATGGCTCGTCACTGCAGCATAGTTTCTCTAGAGCACAAGACGAGTGTGCAGCTCTTACCATCGCTGCTGAATCTGCCGCGAGCCAGGATCGCTTGCAGCACGAGCAAAACAAGAACAATCTCGCAGAGATATCGCTTTCGCAAGTTCCACATTGAGTGATCTGAAGCGTCGCTGACCTCTCTCTGGGTTTTCGCTAGCTAGGAACCGGTGAAAAACAACACAAAAGAGGACTAGCACACACCAAAGCCTTAGAAACTGTAAAGGATCGACCATAATCTATAAATACGCTAGAATGCGCTCAATGACATGAAGTCATCCCTCTCTCGATTTTAACGGTAATTGATGGCGGATTGCATAGCGATTTGAGAACCTTTGTCCCAGAAAAGAGAGAGTTTTTAATCTTTCACCCCGGCAGCTTTGAGTCCAGCTGCGCTTACATTCCCATGAATGGATCCTCAAAACAAAATGGTGGAGGATGACCCCCACGGGGAATTCTTACGCGATGTAATGACGTGAATCCAAATTGTCCCAGTCTAGAATCTCCATGGATCGAAGACACGATCTATTTTTTCGCCACCATCTCTTACAGATGAGGAGGTTACAGAAAGGTCTGATCATCTCTTAGGCTCTCGAGTCAATGTTATCTCTAGATCACCATGGGTTGAAAGTTTTCTCAGTGCCATCGATCGCAAGCAGTGCTGGAATGAATCCGTAGTCTCGCATTGCGGATGGAACTCGCAGTTCCCCTGCTGTGCTTGCCGACCAAATTTTCTAAGTAGGAGCTGGAACCCAAACTTCGTTCCAATTGGGCCCTCCGTACTCTCATCCGTACACACCTTTCGTCTCAACAAGCCTCGCGATTCTCAGTTGCCGATCACGCTCCGTGGAGGCGGCCTAATTACAGTCTACTAAGAATGGGCCATGGATCGAGAGGATTGTCTCCGGCTCCTTCGATCCTGCGCTTCCATCTCCGCGGTTCGAGAGGCTCACGCTAGGATCCGCCCCTTTTTGGCGCCAAGCGATGCCTTCCTCCACAACAAGCTCATCGATGCCTACGGCCGGTGTGGCTGCGCCCAGAGCTCGCGCGCTGTTTTCGATGCCATGCCCGACGCGACCAAGAATCCCTTCTCCTGGACGCTCATCGTTTCGGCCTACGCGCGAAATGGGCTTGTTGACGATGCTCGCGTGCTGCTGGATGCGATGCCACATTGCAAAAGAGTGGCCTCCACCACCATGATCTCGGCGTATGCCAGACACGGGCATATCGACCGTGCCTGGGACGTGTTTGAGGCGATGCTGGAGAAAGATCTAGTTGCGTGGAACACAATGCTAGATGGGTTTTGTTCTTGTGGCTTTACGCAAAGAGCAAAACATTTATTCGATTCCATGCCTCGTAAAGATGCTGTATCTTGGACCACCATCTTTACCGCATATGCCAAGGAAGGGTATCTAGCGGAAGTTGAAGTTTTGTTTCAGAGGATGCCAACGAAAGACCTTGTTTCGTTCAACGCGATGCTAGCGGCTTACGCACGTAATTTTTGTACAGGAGAAGCTAACCGCTGTTTTATCTCTATGCCACAGCATTGTTTTATTTCTTGGACAACACTCTTTTCAGCATTTGCCACTGTTGGGGATGCTGATCACGCAAACAGCTTGTTTCAGAGGATGCCGGAGCACGACCTTCTGTCAGCAAATGCAATGCTGGCATTGATGAGCTCGCGTGGAGATACCATCGAAGCAGAAAAACTCTTTTTTTCAATGCCAAAAAGAGATTTGGCTTCGTGGACCTCCCTCCTTTCGACATATTCTCACGCGGGCGATCTCCAGCAAGCTAGGGCCACATTCGATCGGATGCCACAGCGGGATCTCTTCTCCTGGGCAGTGATGATCGGTGCTTACGGTCAGAGCTCACGGCCCCGGGACTCGGAAAAGATCTTCGAGGAAATGCCCGAGAGAGATATTGTTTCATGGAACTCGATGCTCTCGGCGTGTGCTCGATGTGGACGATCCCTCCAAGCAAAGATTGTTTTTGATCGAATGCCACAGCATAACGTCGTCTCATGGACGGCGATGCTTTCTCTATATAGCGACATGGGTTGGATCGAGCAAGCCAAGCTACTGTTCGATGGAATCCAAGAGAAAAATCTGGCCGTCTGGAACGCCATGCTTGCTGCTTATGCTCACAACCGGCTTCTGCCCGAAGCTAGCCAGATATTTCACTCGCTTCCAGAGCACAACATCGTTTCCTCGACAATCATGGTTTCGGCTTTAGGCCGAGAAGGGCATGTTGAGGAAGCAATGGACATATTTAACACGGCCGAGGACGACAATATCGTGCTTAAAAACTCCATGCTCTCTGTGTATGCCCAAAACGGGCATATCCTCAAAGCCAAAGACATGTTTGATAAGATGGGGGAGCGTGATCTTGCGTCGTGGGATATAATGCTATCCGGCTATCTTCGACATGGAAAGATGCTAGACGAAGCAAGGGATTTGTTTCATAGAATGCCCGAGCAAGACACTCTGTCGGTAACTTCACTGTGCTGCGCATATGCCCAAGAGGGGCATATCGAAGAATCCAAGCGCTTGTTTAGAAGAATGCCGGGAATGGATCTGATCTCTTCAACATTGATGCTAAAGAAATTTTCGCAAAACGGAGATATCGCCAGTGTAAAGGAGATCTTTGATGCCATACACGAGAAAGACAGCGTTGCATGGAATGTGATGCTCGATGCTTATGGCCGGAGAGGAGACTTGGAAGAAATGAAGCTCCTCTTTGATGAAATCCCTCGCTCCGAGGTATCAATGGCGACTTGGAACACGATGCTCTCAGCTTACTCCCAGAGACGCCATTTAAAACATTCTCTGGAAGTGTTCCATAGGATTCCCGAGAAGGACGTGATCTCGTGGACGGCTCTTCTCGCAGCCTACGCTCAAAACGGGCATTTCAGCGAAGCTCGCCGGGTTTTCTATGTGCTCCCAGAACCCGACCGAGTGTCTTGGAATGCCATGATCGCTTCTTACTGCCACAATGGTCTTACGAAGCAAGCTCTCGACACCTTTCACTCCATGAAGATGGTCCAGATGCCCGACTCTGCAACCTTCGTCTCGGTGCTCATCTCGTGTAGCTCCCAAGGAAAGCTCTGCGACGCGAGACATCACTTTGTGTCGATGGCTCTCGACTTCTCCTTGCTTTGCACCAAGCAGCACTTTAGCTGCATGATCGATCTCCTCGGCCGGATGGGACGTGTGGAAGATGCAAAGGAGCTCATCAGCACAATGCCGTTTGTTCCAGACATTCTAGAGTGGGTTTGTCTCCTCGGTGCTTCGCGAAACCACAGCGACGTGACAAACACCGCAAGCTCCATCACTGCTTTGAGCAGCCCGAGTGGCCAGGCGATCACATCACATTACGTGCTGCTAGCAAACTTGTATTCACTCGATCAACCAAGCCTCGTACAAGCAAAAGTTGATTAAACTTTTTCACTTCAATGCTCTCCGTTTCATGTCCTGGACAAAAGCTTGCAAGTTGGCATACGAGCTTCCGCCAGGTTTCACGGCTCCTTTGACAGTGTCGCTCAACTCCTTGGCTCTTTTCCGCAGCTCCTGTCCACTTTCCCCCATTACGAGCCTTACCACTTTTTCGATGCGGTGAGCGCTGGTTTGCTTGTCATGCTCCTCGACCGTGGCACGAAGACCCACTTTAAGATGATCCACGACCAAGGCACAGTTCGTGATCTGGTCCCCAAAGCACGGCTTGCACAGCATTGGAACGCCGGTAGCCAAGGCTTCCGTGATGGAATTCCAGCCACAGTGTGTGAGGAATGCTCCCACAGACTTGTGCTCAAGAACCTGTCGATAAGAACTTTCTTATAAGCTTTCACTTAATTGTTTCGCATGGTTACCTCCAGCTGAGGAGCCCACGGGATGACGAGGCAATTTTGGTTGTTCCTGACCGTAGCTAAGATCCTTTCTCGGGTGTCCTCGTCTTCAAAGAGATCCAGCCTCGCCACCCACAAGAAAGCACTGCCGCTCTTGTCCAGTCCGGCGAGAATCTCCTCCGCTTGATCGTGAGAAGCGGTTGCCAGGCTCCCAAACGAGATGTAGAGCACCGAGTTTGGAGCTTGCCGGTCGAGCCAGTCCAAGCAGCTTCGGTCCTGCCTCCACGGAGCGTGATCGGCGACTGATAATCGCGAGGTTTCGTCCGATAGACAGTACAATGGCCCGATTGGAACGAAGTTTGGGTTCCAGCACCTGGAGATCTCCTTGATCTGCGATGGCTCCACCTCCAGGACGGAGTTGACGAGCACCCAAGCGTCGTTTCTCATTATCTCGTTCCTCTGCTTGCGTTTGAGAAAGCCTGGATCGTAAGGCTCCTCGACCTGGAGCGTGTCGGGAAGATACTTCGCAGCAAAAGAAGATGGCATTCCGGGGACGAAATCCAAAACTCTGCTACTTCCTGCAAAGAAAGCTCGTGAATGGAAGATTGAAGTGGTTTTTACCCTGTGCTGGGAGGAGGCCATTGCTTTCGAGCAACGAGAAATGGCAATACGCGAGACCCCGCGTCGCGCAGCCCGTCCACAAAGTTGCCCTGCAAATCCCGAACTTGTTGGCCACTTGCTGAGTCCACCCAATGAAAACGTCACTGAGTATACAAGTCAGTGGCGGCCGCTGGGAATCGCCCATGAGCTCCGCCACGGTCTTCTCGAAATCGCCCCGCAAGCCCTCCATCGCGTCGAGATACATCTGGAGATTGTTTCCAAGCCGGCCAGATGGAAGGCACTCGTCCGAGATGCTCATGAACCTGTTACACAAGATCGAGAATCGATTCAAAGGAGCTTCTCCAGGGAAGATCGAGTAAGATTTAACACAAAAGAACTACATCTGTGTGAGGCACCTGAATTTCTCGTCACCAGTGGCGCTGCTTTTGTTCTTGCTGCCAATATTGAGGAAAGTTATGACGAATCCCATGGAGGAGAGCTTGCGGCAGAGATGCAGCATCGGAGGTATGTGACCCTGGGCCGGAAATGGAAACGCGAGAACGTGAGGCGCCTGAGAATCCATGGCTTCCTCGATCTACCATACCCAAAACCTACATCTTTTCCAAATGGGAAAAGACACTCGAATAGAAAATTACTTTACGTTCGGCATCCATGTCCTCCTTGAAACATGGAACTCCGACTTTGAGAGTCTGAAAACTTGCTGGGCAAAGCAATGCAAGCACAGCATGGAAACTCCTGGACTTGAGAGTTAAAGTTCCATTTGCAATGAGAAAAAAAATACAAAGTGAATATAATTCATCTTAATTAATATTTTAAAATTAATTTTTACTACTTACTTCACAATATAACTTTGTAATTTTGGATTAACTATTAACACTATAATTATCAAATCTAAATATTTTTATTTTAGTTTACATTCTAAAAGAATTGACTACCATCCCCATTTTCTCTATCTAATTTATTAGAAACTAGCATGAAGCAAGCAATGCCCTCCTCCTCATTGATGCCCACAGTAACAATAACTTCACAAGATGAATTTCGAAGCTATTTAGAAGAATGCTTGGAAATATTTTCTTTTCTCAAAACTGAGATGTCGTCCATGCAAAGGAGATCTTCAATGGAATACAAGAGAAAGATTGTTGCGTATGCTTACGGTCAGATAGGAGACTTGGTATTAATGAGAACGGCCATCTAGAATATTCCTTGGACATGTTCCATGAGCAATCTCATGGATGGCTCTTCTTACAGTCACCGAGTTTTTCATGGGCTCCAGAGCTGGATCGAATGTCTTGGATGCCACAATGGTCTCACGATACAAGCTTTTTGACACCTTTCACTCCATGGAGGTGGTCCAGATGACCGACCTGTCTCAGGGCTAATCCAAGGAAATGCAAGATATCAATTTTGTGTATGGTTTGAAGGAGTCTTTGTAGCAGTATATTCTTAATATTCTACAGCCGTTTGTTCCAGACACTTTGAAGTGCTCGTAGAGAACACAAGTTTGCTAGCAGCAAGTAAGTAATGCTATGTGATCTTTTGGCCACTCGGGCTGCTCAAAGAAGTGGCTTTTGTCAGGTCGCTGTAGTTTCGCGAAGCACCGAGAGGAAAATTCAACGCATGCTTGTTCTTGGAGCATTTTCTCTGATCGAGGGACAAAGAAAGCCTATATTGCTGGTATAGATCGCAGAAAAACACCTTTGTCAATTCAATGCTCTTCGTTTCATGTCCTCCACAAAAGCTTGCATGTTGGCATACGAGCTTCCGCCATGTTTTACGGCTCTTTTGACGGTGTCGCTCAATTCCTTGGCTCGTTTTCGCAGTTCCTGTCCACTTTCCCCCATTACGAGCCTCACCACTTTTTCAATCCGGCCAGCGCTGGTTTGCTTGTCCTGCTCCTCGTCCGTAGCACGAAGACCCACTTTGAGATGATCCACCACCAAGGCACAGTTCATGATCTGGTCTCCAAAGCAAGGCTTGCACAACATTGGAACTCCGGCGGCCAAGGCCTCCGTGATGGAATTCCAACCACAATGTGTGAGGAATGCTCCCACGGACTTGTGCTCAAGAACCTGTAGATGTACAGAACTTGATTATGAGCTTTCATCCTATTGTTTCTGGTACCTCTAGCTGAGGAGCCCACGGGATGACGAGGCTGTTTTGGCTGTTCCTGACCGTAGCCACGATCTTGTCTCGGGTGTCGTCGTCTTCGAAGAGATCCAGCCTTGCCACCCACAAGAAAGCACTGCCGCTCTTATCCAGTCCGGCGAGAATCTCTTCCACTTGATCGTGAGAAGCGGTTGCCAGGCTCCCAAAAGAGATGTAGAGCACCGAATTTGGAGCTTGCCGGTCGAGCCAGTCCAAGCAGCTTCGATCCTGCCTCCAGGGAGAGTGACTGGCGACTGCTAATCGCGCGGTGCGGGTGTCATCCGTACTTAGACAGTGTAAGGGCCCGATTGGAACGAAGTTTGGGTTCTCGCTCCTGGAGATCTCTTCGATCTGCGATGCCTCCACCTCCAGAACGGAGTTGACGAGCACCCAAGCATCGTTTCTCATTATCTCGTTCCTCTGCCGGCGCTTGAGAAAGCCTGGATCGTAAGGCTCCACGTTCTGGATCGTGTCAGGAAGATACTTCGCAGCAAAAGAAGATGGCATTCCAGGGATGAAATCCAAAACTCTGCTACTTCCTGCAAAGAGTTTTGTATAATAGTAGCTATGGAAATGGTTCTTACCGTATGCTGGGAGGAGGCCATTGCTTTCGAGCGACAAGAAATGGAAACACGCGAGAGCCCACGTCGCGCAGCTCGTCCACAAAGTCGCCCTGCAAATCCCAAACTTGTTGGCCACTTGCTGAGTCCAACCAATGAAAGCGTCACTTAGTATACAAGTGAGAGGCGGCCGCTGCGAATCGCCCATGAGCTCCTCCACGGTTGTCTCGAAATCGCCCCGCAAGCCCTCCATCGCGTTGAGATACATCTGGAGATTGTTTCCAAGCCGGCCAGATGGGAGGCACTCGTCAGAGATGCTCATGATCCTGTTTACATGAAGTTCTCAAATGGGTGTTGATAATCGATTCAAAGCACTCTCCAAGAGCTCGAGCACGAAAAAAATACCTGAATTGCTCATCAGCAGTGGAGCTCATGTTCTTGCTGCCAATGTTGAGGAAAGTTACGACGAATCCCATGGAGGCGAGCTTGCGGCAGAGAAGTATCATCGGGTTTATGTGACCCTGCGTGGGAAATGGAAACGCAAGAACGTGAGGCGGCTGGGAATCCATGGACGCTTCCTGATCTACCTTACCCAAATACTTTGTTACAGAAAAAACAATTGGTTATTATATAGGCTAGTGGTTACGACATGAGTTCGAATCTCGGTGGGACCTCGAAATCGTCACTTTCGTTTTAGGATCGCTAATGCCATTGAATGATTAACATGAGGTGGGAGGTCAGATGGATTCCCCGGGATGAATCTCACATAAAGTCGCTTGTAGAACTTGCTTACCAGGTCGCCATTGTTTCTGAGATGCCGGGAGATGGATCCCTCGGTAATGTTCAGAAGGAAACTTCAGCTGCAGCATAGCTTTGGAGGCTTAGACCGTTGGAAATTGTTGGAACCAAACACTTGCCCTGGTCGAGTGTGAGGATCGCGAATGATTCCCCGGTTTCGGCATTTGGTTTTATCACCTCGTCAATGGTCCTGAAAAACCAAGGCATGCAGAACGTAGCATGAGTTTCGCGATCAATCAGTTCCTGCCGTAAAACAAGTTTGTCATGGTTCCAGAAACTATATGCATGCGTACCTCTTCGACCATATCGTTCCATGCCAGCTCCAAGCGTGTAACATGCCAGTCCTCGAAGGACGTGAACTAGGGTTGGCAACTCGCATCCGTGAGAACAATCAAGCAGAGAATTCCTCCAGGAACAATCTCTTGTGCTCGGCAGGATAAGAACCGGCAAAGATCCTCATGAGCTTGCACCACAAAGGCTTCATTCCTCGCCGTGAATGGACCACACCGATCATCCACGTTCCTCTCCGGAGTCTGGAGAGACGACCAAAATGCCCATAGAAGGAAGAACTAAATCGAAGGAATGAACTTGAATCCAGTCTCACCTTGGACAGCCAATGCGACGATATGTTACACATTACAATGTGGAGGCTGGAGCTGGGAAAGAGACGCTCGTAAAAGGATCCAGAGACAGCGGCAGTGAAGCGTCGCAGTGATGGCGATGACTGTTCTAGCTGCTGGAACAGCGTGTTGAAGTCATTGGAGCTCAAGTCCGAGAAGAAGGCTTGGATCTCGAGCATGCTCGAATTGCCTCGGCAACAAGCCCCACTACACGGATTGTGTTGTAGCCAGACGCACATCCCAGATCGGCTATGCGGACCGAGCTCGTTTCGTCATAGCCAAAGTCACTTGCTGCTATCACATTCTTGAGAGCTGGAGCAATGAGCGAGAAACCCATCGCTTGCTTGGCGGAGTTTCGAGTGTATTGATTCCCACTCCGCCCAGCATTCTAACTCGCCAGAAGAATGTCCCTAGTTTATAGATCCTGT